GGGTTCTTTTCCACATTCCAGGTCTCTGCTCTTGTGCTCCTACTCACTAACTCTGCAAGTCATCCCGTGCCTGCTGGCTCACACCAGGGCTGGCACCAGGAATAGAAGGCTGTGAAACCGGCGATTTGCAGGGGCGTCAGAGGAGTCCCATGAAAGACACTGGTTTAATTTTTTTTTGGTTGTTTGTTTTAATTTTTCTTTTTTCCAGTTGGAAGATGCACAGAAATGAGACAGGAGACTGCAGGAGAAACCTAGTATTATGACATGTAAAGAGTATGGAAAAAAGTGCCTTTGCTTTCCACCTCTGTCACACAGCTCTCCTACAGTCACGTGCATCTTTTTCTGAAAGTCCAGTTTTGAGCATAACTTAGATCTAATTTGCTTCTGTTAAACATCCAACTGCATATCAGATCTGGAGAGCTCTGTTCTGAACACAGTGCTGAATAACTTCAACAAAACCCAGAACTTACTGACACTTGTCAATGGTCAGACAGAAAGAATTTACTGACTAACTATTCTCAGGCTTTTTGCCTCAATACTTCCTTCTGAGACATTTCAATGAGCTAAATAAGCCCCAATATATTAATTCCGTGTTTAAAGATGACTCTGAAGAGAACGCATAAAATAAAATATCAGGACATATGCTGAACCCCTATAAAATATGAAACAGTAATTAATTCAGAGACAGTACATCCTATGTCCTCTGTGCTCACTTTTTTTTTTTTTTTAAATCACATACTAATGTAATTAAATACAGAAGAGGGTAAAGTGGATCTGCTTGATTTGGTATTTCTTCAGTTGTAAAGCCTGTTTGTGCAGCATTATCACTTTCTTGTTTGCAACATACCTGTGGATTTATTAAAATTATGGTAATAGTGAAACATGAACAGTTGGGAAGAGGTGACAATATCTGCATGAAATTTCAATGCATCAATATAAGATGGGATAATGTCTCTATCTACTGATGAGATTGCTTATCAAGTTTGGTAACATAAAAAAAATCCTTCTGAAATGGAGTACATTTCTCTCTGTTGGAAAGAAAAAATGATCCAATCCATGTAGCCTGAAATAAATAATAGGAGTGCCTATTTCCCAACATCATCACAGCCTGAAACAGGAAATCCTCAGTAATCTAAAGGGATGCTCCCCGTACTTGAGCCATGTCAATCCTCAGGAACCTGTAGCCCTCTCAGCAGGGTGCAAACTGATGGCTGTTCATCAGAACTGTATCCAGCTTTTCCACTCAAATCACTGAAATCATACAACTCCATAACATAAAAAAGACCAGTTACTCAGAAAATATATTTGTCCAACCTTCCTTTAATTTTCAAGTTGAATTTCAGAACACAATACTTAAGAACACCACAGACAAATTCCTTGTTTATTTAAAACAAAACAAAACAATGCAGTAGATGCACTACAACAACTGTCAATGTGTTTGTCATCGTGCCTGGAAGAATCAATTTCTGGATGAAGGCTGAGTTTAGCCTCAAAGTCAATTCTAAACATAGTCTTTTGTCCCAGACTGAAAACAAAAATGGAATTTACAATGGTCCTTCCCTCCCTGTCCTTCTCCACCCTCAGGCTGGATCTAGTAAAAAGAACTTGGACTGAAGTCATGTAAGGCACCTAACAGCTAGAAATTAGAATTTAGAAATTAAACTAGGAATGAAAATTGAGTGGTTTTCTAATGACCAGTAAACATTATTCTGTTCACTGAAGCATAAAGTGGAATTAATCCATGTTATAATCAAGGCTGTCACTGCACATTAGCAGCAAACTGTGAATCTAGGTCCATCCACACACAAATATAAATGGAATATCTTCCTGATATCAAGACCCCCAGTAAATAAAGTTAACTTCTCTAGGAGTGGCTGAGGTCATTTACATACAAAACCTTGACTTTTTACCCAATAACAAAACTAAATAGAAACAATCAAGTACAACCTGTAAAGTGGGTAGTCTTCAATTGTTCAACAGTGTAGTAATTACTCTAATTACACAAAATTCCATGATGAAGCTGGGAAAGAGCTAGGCCTTCAGAATATCTGTTCACATTTCAATTCAAGTGTGAAACATTTGCATACTTCAGGAAATTTAACTGACTGGTTCTCCATAATCAGCAGGTCAAGTGCACATTTTAAGAGAAACAGCCATAATCACTCCTAATAAAAGCTCACAAAATGAAATTTTTGGGGAGTCTTCAGTACTACTGCTATGCTAGTAGCTACCCTGGGAAACCTGAACCTGGTTTCACCATACTGTATTTTGACAAAATAGCTATTTCTTCTTTCCTTAACTGTTTCTCTAATTACTGCCTCTCCTCCTATTCCTTTAAAAAAATTATTCACCCCCACTCATATGTGCTCCTTTATTTTCAGCTCTACACTGGTCTGAGTATTTTGTCTTGTACTCTTTTTTTTTTTGTTGCAAAGCCTTCTGCAGCAGCCCTTACACTGAACTTGAGAATCATGCATCCCCTTATACAGTCTTCTCTTAATTTAACTAGATTTACATCAACATGAAAAGAAGAAACCAGGCCCTATCTTCAGGGCCTTTAACTTATTTCTGAAACAATTCTGTGGAACACTACAATTACAGTCTCAAGTACATTTTAAATCAACAGCCAATTACAGTCTCTTAGTCCTGGAATGCTGAAACTAGTCTAGCTGGAATATTTTTATTATTCAATTCTGGAGTTTTTTTCCCATCAGTTATGAATTGAAATTAAATTTTTAAAATCTGTAGCTTTACACGGGAGTTACATACTAAAAAGAAAAAACTAACATGCTCCTAATTATTACAAGCAGTATTTTTAAATTTTGGAAAGGTCTGGGCTAGGGGTAATTAATGATGATGAAAATATTCCAGTGAAAGTAACTACAGCCAGAGGCTGAAACCTGCCCCAAGCAAGATGCTTCAGGAAGGTTTTTCCAATGAGAAAGAAAGTACTTCAGAAGAAAGAAACACAGGAAAAAGCATTAAATCATTCTTGGTGAAAACTGGCAAAATGCAGCATGAATTTGAGCAGCAGTCTTACTCAAATCTGTACCTTGAAAGACTGAAAAATGCTATTCCAGTGGTTACTCGACATGTTCAGTTCTCATGTTATGGATGGACATTCAACGTGAATTGTCCTTTGATTGTATCACATGGAAAAAACCCATAGTATTTTAAATCAGGAAACCAATTTCAGTGTTAATGAAAATGAATGAAAATTCGATTTGGAACACAGTGTTTTAAACAGTCTCTGTATATTTCCTTCAGTAACCTTGTTTCTGAAAGTCTGTGGATTCATTCATGGACTTAAGGGAACACTGACAGTTCCTGGAATACTGACACAAGCAGCTCATAGGGTTATGATAACAACGCTGGTCATAAGCACTCCTACATGGATGAAAAAAAAAATCCCTCAAAACCAAACCCAGGTGCTTTTGTCTAATGTCATCCAGCCATTCTGAGCAGCTCATAATAAGGACTGCTCAGAAACTATTTTAAAATAAAATCAGGTAAGTATTTTAAGTGAATTCATAAGTAGCAATGATTATCAAATAATTTGTTAGAAAGCAAGTCTTCCAGAAACAAGTGTCTGGAGTTTTTCAGCGCAACTGCAGTACTGAAACCTCAACCATACACAGCTGGGGTTTTTATAAATGTCTCTAGTTCAAAAACCCATGAAAAGTTTGTAAAAGCAAAAAAACAAACAAGGGCAATATAAATAAAAATAATGAGAAAAGCAGCATTTCTTTGACCTGAAAAAGCTTAGGACAAAACCTAATGTCAACATGTATTTAAATGTTAACAGAACAGCCCCCACACACACACTTTGCAATTAAAAACAAAACCGAGGTAGCAAAAAGCTCGCTAAGGCTATAAAGACAAAAAGTTAAAAACAAGCGCATCCCTTAAGCGTTTTGCGTCAGAAACCGGCCATGTGGCCCCTTCTCCTCAGTCCCCTTTCTCTTCCCCCCACTTTTCCCTCAGTTTGTCGCCCGCACAAGCACATGAACCGCATCCACCCCCAAGGGCCTCTCGGAGCCGCGGGCGGGGAGGAGGGCGGGCAACTTTATCACTTTACTTCATGCCCGACACTCGGGCCGGGGGCAGGAGGAGGGAGGGGGGCAGCGCACCGGAGCCTGCCCTCACCCCGAGCCCTGCGGGGACACGGGGCCAGCCCGGGGGCCAGCCCGGGCCTATCCACCCGCCCGGCCCGGAGCCGGCCCGTTCCTCCGCGGAGAGGCGGCCGGGGGCTGCTCCCCCGGCAGCACCCGCCCCTCGCACCCACCGCCCGCTGCCCGCGCCCTCCTCCCCGGCAGGGAAACTCCTCCTGCCCGTCCGCGCTCCCTGCCGGGGCAGCCCCGGCGGAGCGGTAGCTGCGGCGGGCGCGCCGCGCCAGCCCCGGCCGGGAGCGGCTCCGCGTCGGCCGCACCCCCGGCCCCGCCGCCGGGCCCCCGCGCCGCCCCGCGCCCTTACCAGGTCGTAGTCCTCCTCATCATCGCACATGAAATCATCCTCCATGTCAGACATCTTGGCCGGAGGACGGGCGGGGGGCGGCGGCGAGGACGGCCCCTTCTCCCAGAAGCCCGCGCGGCGCTGCCCAATGTGGCTCCGCTCCGCCCGGAACGCGCTGCCGCCCGCGCCTCTCCCGCCCCCGGCCCGGGCCTCCGAGCCCTCCGAGCCCGATCCGCGCCTCTCCCGCCCCCGGCCCGGGCCCTCCGAGCCCGATCCGCGCCTCTCCCGCCCCCGGCCCGGGCCCTCCGAGCCCGATCCGCGCCTCTCCCGCCCCCGGCCCGGGCCGCTCCGAGCCCGATCCGCGCCGCCCCGCCGCCTGCCCCTAGCAGGGACCGGGCCCTGGCAACGCGGCCGGGCGGGGCCTGGGCTCTGCACGCCGGAGCTCCCCGGGGCGGCTCTGCCGGTCCTGCCGCCGGGAGGGCGCCGTGCTGGCGCCAGGGCCGCCCGCCGGGTGTGCGGCCCCCGCGGCGGCTGCGGGTGTGGAAGGGTCGAGGGCGGTGATCCTGCCCCTGTGCTCAGCGCTGATGAGGCCACAGTTGCAGTGCTGTGTGCTGCTGTGGGCTCCTCGGTGTGAGACACATGGAGCTCCTGGAGCGGGTCCAGCAGAGAGCCACTGAGTTGGCCAAGGGTTTGGAGAATCTTAGGAGGAAAGGCTAAGGGAGCTGGGCCTCTTCAGCCTCGAGAAGAGGTGACTGAGAGGGGTCCTCATTAATGTGTATGATTATCTAAAAGGGAGGATGTAAAGAGGATGGAGCCAGGCTCTGCTCCATGGTGACAAGCAATCGGACAAGAGGCAATGGGCAGTGGTGCACGGGAAGTTCCACCTGAACACGAGGAAGAACTTCTTTACTGTGCAGGTGACCGTGCACTGAAACAGGATGCCCAGAGAGGTTGTGGAGTCTCCCTGACTGGAGATACTCAGGGACCATCTGGACACAATCCTGTGCAGTGTGCTCTGGGATGACCCTGCTTGAGCAGCAAGGTTGGACCAGGTGACCCACTGTGGTCCCTTCCAGCCTGACCCATCCCGTGATTCTGTGAAAGCCGGTCCAGATGCTGGGACTGGCAGCGCTGCTCAGCCCTCAGTGCAGCCTATTTGCCTCACTCGGTGCTGCTGAACAGTTTACGTGGGCTGTGTTTTGCCTTAAGCAAGTCCCGGAGCAGCAGTTTTAAGGGCCTGAACTGTTAAAATCTATGGGCCTTGCAAAGCAATGGCTTTATAAAGATCTTTGCACTTTAATTTCTGCTTCTGCCTTCAACTGAGTGATGCAAAATGCCTGACAGAGCAGCTCTGCCTCCCCATCTCCACAAGGCCTGGGGTTCTGGTTTCTAACAGTTTTTTTCTTTTCTTAGAGCTAGTGTTAAGTCTTCTAAAAACTCTGTTTTCTGCCACCATACTAAGAGGAAGAAAAAAAGTTTCACCTCAGAAAACCTGCAGTGAAATTTCAGTCTGTGCTTCAGTCCTGAAAAGCTCCATGAGTGGGATATGAAGGGCCAGAAGATACAGACCAAACCAAAGATATACACCAAAATGCGCATTAACACTGAGCGAACGAACCTGGAAACACTTTTGAAAGTCTCAGCTCCTCACAGCATCTGCAGCCAGTAATCCGAGGGGTAGCAGGAGCCATGAGGTGGCTTGTTGGGAGTGGAGCTGGCGGAACCGCACACCAGGAAAAACAAAGGGAAAGGAACGACGCCGGAGGGGACGGCACTGCCCATTTATTGTTTTCATTGCAAGTGCGTTTTGCCGGAGAACCGGCAGGAATGCGGGGGCGGGAACCCTAAACACTTCCTTGGCACGTGGCAGCAGCTTTCCCGTCTCGCCTGGGCTGCGGTGGCCGAGGGGCCGCGGGGTGCCCGGGGCCGAGGGGGCGGGCCGGGCTGAGCTGGGCTGGGGCCGGGCCGGGCCGCCGGCGCTGCCGCCCGGAAGGACGCGGCGTGTGCGGGCCCCGTGACCACCGCGCTGCCGGAGCCGCCATGGCAGGGGACGGCCCCGCCGCCCTCCCGGTGCAGCTCGTGGAGCAGCCCAGGTGGGTGGGTCGCTCCCCGGCCCCGCCGCCGCTTATCCCGGGGCGGCTGGGCGGTCTGCGGGAGGTGGGAGGGCAGGCGGGCCGGCCCCTCGTTGCGCCCCCGTGTGAGGTGCGAGGGGGCTTTGGCTGGCGGTGATTTTGGTTTCTTGCTGCACGGCCGGCGTGGCACTCGCATCCCGCGTGGCTCTGGGTGCTGCTGGGGCAGCAGGGGGGATCGTTCATTCATTCATTTATTCATTCATTCAGCTTTCCTCCTACCTTTTTTCCCCAGAATTTTGGCGTTACTTTCTTTTTGCTATAAAATCCTTGGCACAGCGCAGGCCCGGGCCCTGCGTTGGCACTGCCGAGGCAGGTGCCAGGACATGCTCCCTCCCCACGGAGCCGTGCTCGGAGGGTAGAACACACACAAACCAACCTTTTTAACTGCATTAGCACCGCAGAAGAGTCACCTTTTAAACTTCATTTACTTGCATATACTTGCACTGTAAGGCACATGGAAAGGACAAGTCCAGCACTTCCAGACTTGGGTGTGTGAAGTTGTGGGGATGCCTTTGCTTAACGCTTCTGACAATCTTCTTTTTGATGTAGGTGCTTAAAATGCAGTGTGAGTGTTGCAACATCAAGGCCAGAGCCTGTAAATAGCCTTTCATCAGGCCTGCTTGTAAAACCCACTTTAAAAAAAGAGATCAATCAACACTTAGATAAACATGCCCCCATGACTGCTTTGTTTGTTGTTAGTCTCTCGGTACCAACACTACTATAAAAATATCTGTGCAACAAAGCAGCATTCTAAACACTGACACAAAAAGGAATAAAGTTAACACCTAGAATTCTGCCAAGAGATTCCCCCATGGACTATAAAATTTATTAATGTGATCTAGAGAAGGGATTGTACAGTGAAATGGCAGAAATTGCTTCTGCTAATTGGAAGAGCGATATACCAGTCAATACTAGGGGAGATTATAAGAAGGAGAAATTATAGGGGGACCTAATACCTAATACAGCGTTGTTACTACCCGGGTACCAAGATGGAAAAGTACTGAATAATCTGTTAAAGAAAATCACAACAAATCATATTTTGTAGCTTTCCATTTAAAGAAATCTTACAAAACATTTGAATATATGTAATTAGACAGTAACACAGCCTTTACAAAGAAGTACAAACTAAATAATTGTGAATTTTGTAACATCTGTTTGTCATTGCTGTCTTCTTCCACTTTGCATTAACTAGGCTTCCAGTTCTAGTTTTAGACTAAATGTAGATACCTTATCAGGGTTCCTGTTACTGCATTTTTGTTAGTACACCAAAATTTTGCTTTAAGGTAGTTTTGAAGTGAATTACTATCAAATTTCCTGTGCTACACTAAGGTAATGGTTTCATTTGTTCTCTGCCTTGGTTTATCCAACGTCCTGCATGACACCCTAAAGTAACCCAACTTTGCAAACACACCTTTACAGTTTAAGGAAATAAAGCAGTATGCCAAAGTTTCTTTGCATTGAACTTTCAGTAGCACATCTAGCACCTCCAAATGGAAAGCTTGAAGAATTTCCTGGGAACTGTTGCTGTAATCCTGTGGACTAAATACTGTCTAAATCACAGGAATAATCTGAGGTTTGGAATTTTAGTTCTCTGTCTAGGCATTTGTACAGGGATGGGGTAGTGACTAATGTGGAAATTGATAAAAATCAAACCTCAGAAGAAAATTAATTTGCTCAGATGTGGGGTGGTCAGATTTGACTTTGAAGGGAGTGTCTCTGGGTGTGGGACAAATCCCAGTGCCGCAAATGAGCTGTTGGTCCACACTGCCAGATTCCTCCTCAACGGCAGACACTTTTTCAGAGCTGTGGCATAGAAGAGGTGGGTGGGGGCCATGGTATTTTGTTATCCCAGGCAACTGCTTTCCCTGCTTCTATCTAGACCCACCCTAGACAGAGAATTTAAATAAAATAAGGCCCTTGCTGATCCTTATCAAGTGAATATACACATTTCTTATTAATTAGAATATTCTAAATAGTCTTCTTTGTCACAATGTTATGTGAAGAGCAGAAATAAGCAGTTTAATGTCTCTCCTGATGCATCAGAGAAAACTCCACATACTTCAGAAAGTTGAATTGAATTTACTTCAAGAAACATTGAAACTTCCTGCCTTATATGCAAATACAGTCTTCCTAACCTTTCTAACTATAGTATTTCTAACCTGCCTTTCAGAATGCAGAAGCTGAAGGAAATGTTTATATCAAAATATGGATCGGCTCCCAAGTTTTATGCTCGTGCACCAGGACGAGTGAACTTAATAGGTAAAGGAGAAAATTAGTCTTCTGTTATTTTACTTTATCTATCATCACGGAAGTCTAGTAGTTTAAAACACAGAATGGAAATAATGCTGGTCTTAATTTAATTTTTTTCTCAGAGAAGTTTCTTGTGATAAATGGGAAATCATATACACTTTAGTAGCTTTTACTACAGCTTGTTATAAACAACTGCACGTCCATATTAGTTTTGGAAACAACATTTATAGACAGTGGTGATGGTTTTGAAAATTGGAGTAACTTCTCAGCTTATGGTTGAATACCATTTTTTGAGAGGCTTTGGAAATCTGAAGTAGTTTATGGATAGTGCATCCACAAATTAAATTAGTGTATATTTTCTCTTCTGTTACAATTTAAGTTACCAAATACAACCAGCCACATAGCAATGCCTGTGGTAAAGCATGAAATGATTCTACCGTCATTTCTTCTTCTGTTCTCTTCCATAGAGTTGTGTCCACAGAACTGAGAATAGCTGATGTGATTCACTGGCAGACTGGAGAGACACAACTATTTTTTATGTAGGACTTACTTACATTTTTGTGGCAGGGTTATTTTTGAGATTTCTTTATCCATGTTAGGATTTTGCTCTCCCTGGAGCTCAGTTTCTTGTATACTTATGAAGTATCCCTATGCATTTGAAGACATTGTAAGTAAAAAGATCCTGCAAAACAGAGCTTTAAAAATCAGTCTATTGTACAATGAATTAATTTTTATGTCAGTGTTGTGAGAACATATGACATAGATTAAATAGACAGCATATGCTAACAGTGAATTATTCCCAAGAGAGAGGACATGTTGTATGCAACTGTATTGATTATTTAAACATAATTATTATATTCTTGGAAAAATGTCCAGAAATTGTATGCACAAGACAGTGTACAAATAATGTGGCTGTTCTCATTGCTGGACAATAATCTACATGGTGGTTTTTTGTGATTTTTGTAAGCCAGTGTTAAAACAAGAATATTTATAAATGGGTGCAATAGATAAAATCACTAAAGAAGAAATTTTGTGTAGAGTAATATGAAATGGAGCAAATGCACCCCAAACTTCAAGTCTCATACAGTAAACAACACTGAACCCCTGTAGAAGCCCTGTAACTGCTGTTCCAAACTATCCAAAATATGTTCCTTGTCCATTTCTTTGACAGGAGAACATATAGACTACTGTGGTTATGCTGTGCTCCCCATGGCTATAGAACAAGATATCCTGATTGCAGCAGAACCTGTACAAACTCAAGTTGTGCAACTGGCAAACACCAATTCTTCATACTTGTAAGTAATTGCTTGTTTATTCACCAGCTTTTATGAACCTCTTCATGCAGTTGCAGAACAGGTTACCTTTTCAGAGAGCTGACAAACTTCAATTGCAATACAGAGTGCAACTGTGTAAAACAAATCCTGTCAGCAGATGGAATCCCACTGACTGGCTCCATGCTGTGTATTACTTTAGAGCAACAGATTTGCAGCTGCTGTCTCCCACCTGTTTGTTCATCTCTCTCTTGTTAGGCCTCTGATTTTTCAATCCTTCTGAAGGTGCAAGTCTGTCTTCCTTTCTTTTAGCTCATCTGTCTTGATATAATCCCCATAATTGGCAGCATTTCAGTTTCTCCTGGAGAAGGGAGTGAAATGTTTTGTAATTGATTATTGCATAGGTAAGCCAACACTCCCCTGCTCTGGAGGACCTGGGGCTGTGTTTTCACAACACAACAATCTGGCTTTAGTAACAGTCCTGGCTCAAAAAATCTGTATTCTCTCTCTCCTACTTCCTCCACAGCTGCTTTTTCACAGAATTGTAGACCAGTTTAGGTTGGAAAGGACCTTTGGAGATCCTTGTAAACATCCTGATGGCCTTGTGCTGGACTCCCTGCAGTTCACCACTGTCTTTCATGTATTGGGAAACCCCACAAGTGGATGCAGTATTCCAGCTATGGTCTCACAAGTGCTGAACATAGGGAAATAATCCTGCCATTCTTTTCAACTGGAGCCACGTTGTTCTGCCTGCTTTTAACAGACTGATATTTGTGTAGTTGCATGGCAGTTCAAATCAGGCCACTCATCCACATGAGCTTTTGTGGACATTTTGCAAAAACTAGAATCAGCACAAGCTTAGTTTTATTATTTAAGCCATTTTTATTATTTAAGCCAATGGTAAATTACTCACTGAAAGCACAGTGTGTGGCAGCACAGGGTCAGGAACAAACTGCCAAAAGTGGGAACTATTTGAGCACATATTCCTGCTTAAAGCTCAGTTTGTTAAAAAAACATGTTCTGAGCTGCTGCCTGTGACATGGTAAGTATAAGTACTCACAGATTTGTCACTCACTCTGGAATATGTTTTCACATTATAGCTGGGCTGAATTAAGAATTTGCCACTGCCAGAAGGCGATGGTGCTTCTTTTACCCCGACTCCCCCTGTCCCTGCTTCTAACATCAGTCCATCCTCTGCCTTTTAGCAGGTGTGGTACTTGTTTGATCTTAAGGTAAAGTGCACTATTTCCCCCTTTTTTGCTTGGTTAATTTTCTGTCATTTTAGTGAATTGCCAAGCACTCAGCACTAAAGCTGACTTGGGGTAAACAGTGGGAACAAGCAGGGCTGAGCAGGGGCAAAAGGACTGAAAGATGTGCATGGGACCTTTCCCTTTCTTCAGCAGCAGCCTCCCAACAGGGCTTAAGCTGCACTGCAAAACCATTCTGCAAGAGGCAATAGTTTCAGATTTAGAGTAGCTTTGATTAGGAGTAGTTGTTATAATGGACAATAAATAAAGCAGTAATCGCAAGGTAAACATTTTTACTTGGTCTTCAAGCTTTGCCATATCATATCACAATTGAAATGGCCTTCTCCTAGGGTATATAGAGTTCCTGTCAAATCTAGAATTACAGCCTTTGAACCCAAACACACCATCACTATATTTCTACATCTGCCCTGGTTTCAGTTTGAAATCATATGCTGTAAACCATAAACCAAGAAGAGGTCTCAGAATACAGCATTAACATCTTGGGTTTGTTGAGGCACTGTTGCTTAAAAAACAAAGCTGAAACATGCCCATAATTTCATAACAAAGAAATATTTTTCAACACTTTGAATGTTACACCACAAACAAAACTGGTGACAGTATGTCTTTCTTTCCCAGCCTGTTACACTGGTAGATTTATGCCTGTGGTGAATACACATATATAGGCCTTGGTAAATAAGGACTAACCATAAACCTCCATAGAATTAGTACTTCCTATTTAATTCTTGTTTTGTGAACTGGTAAAATGTGTAACAGTTCTGTAGCTTCCACCCTGATAGTTCATGTTAGCTTTTAGGAAAAATAGTACAGAGAACAGGTTGCTAGAAAAACCACCTATTTGTTTTTCATCATAAACCATCTCAACTGATCTGACACCTTTTATGTTATTAGGGCTAAAATGGCATTCAGTACTTACAGTCTTTTGAAGTTCCTGATACCTCCCCTTCACATAACATCTTTGTAATTGAGATGTGTGTACAGAGAGTATCTGACATTGTACTTCTCAAAATGCCTTCAGAAGTACCAGAGGATGGTAATTACCAATCAGTTTCCATCTCATGGCCTGAAAGTTTTTTGTTGTTGTTTTTGTTTTTTGTTTGTTTGTGTGGGTTTTTGGTTTTGTTTTGGTTTGGTTTTGGTTTTTGTTTGTGTTTTTTTTAAATTGGGCTATTTGCACAGAGGACTCAAACAGATAAACCAACGGATTGACAAGACAAGGAGGTTCTGTGAGAAAGAGCCAAATTGGTCTCCCAAACATAAGGATTATTTACTATTTGAGCCAGTAAAAAATGCCTCTGCCACTCTACTCAAAAATGTCACCTCTTGTAATTATACAGAAAAAATGGAATGCTTATGTCTAGTCATGGAGAGTGGCATTCTTTCCCAAGCATTCTTTAAAACAGAAAGGCTGGAACAGACAATACCAGAATATTTTTATTTCATGGGTATCTTTTCCCCAATTTTTTATTTTATTTTATTAGAAAGTTCTTATATTGATCTGCCTACTTTCCAGCAGCATAATTTCTTGAAAGTGGTTTTATTCCCATTAAACCTAAATATTTCCAGGAAATTCAGCTGCCTCTGTTCATGTTGTTTGGCAGACCTTGCTTTTAAAAGCACAGCTTAGCCTGCAGCTGCCTTTCCTGTTTCAGTGTTGGGCACTGCTGTAATGGCATCAGGGAGACACAGCGGTGGGTGTCCAGAGTAAAGACTTCTCAACAACTCACACCTCTTGGGGACTGATGCCCACTCCTCTGAGGCTCTGTGTGTCATTCCATGCCCATTTTGACAGCACCTATCTCTAGCAGTAGTTTCTTAAAGAACATTCAAGCTTATTATTTTAATTATTTTGAAAAGAGGATGGGGTAGGAATTATCCCGGAGGAAACAGAAAAATTATTTAAACTAAATAATTTTCATTACATCTTGTAACATCCATAATACAATTCTGCAGCATTAGGCCTGTTTTAGTGAAGTACCATTCAGAGCAAAGGTGATGAAGAGGAATTCCTGAGCAGGAATTACCAGAGAGCCTGAAGTTTATCTCTCTCTATTCAAGGTTTGACAGATATGATTATTTAGATTTTTACTTCTCTAAGATATCGAGATGGCAGATTGATGTGGTGGAAGGCATGCTGCCTTAATTAAGGATGTCCAAGGCAGCCTAATTTCTGGATTTATCTAGTAAATTCTCTATACTTCAGCAAGAATTCTTATGCTTTCATCTAAAATAACCTTATAGAATTTATTAATAAAGAATATCTGTTAAAAAACCCCAAAACAAACCAAAACACATTGCACTGGAAAACATCAACCTGTTTTTGTCCATCAGCAGGTGGCAGTAACAAGCCATGTTTTTTCAAACTAAATTCAATACAAATTTAAGCCTTAAGGTTTTTCTGTTTTTGCAGGGATTTCAGTACTAGTGTTAATAACATTCAGATTAACAAAACCAAACCTCAGTGGCATAGCTACTTCCTGTGTGGACTGAAGGGCATCCAGGTAAGCCAAATCCATTTAACTTATGAAATTATTGTTGCAGTAAAATACAACAAGCATAGCTGTTCACCTCAGAATACTTCCCTGCATTCTATAGCTTTTCTTGACATACAGCAAAGTATTTTTATGTTAAAATTTAAAGAGGAGATAGGAGTGGGTTTGCTTTAAAATATTTGCAGAGCACTGTTTTTGTTTCTATTAAACAAATTACGATAGCAAGTAATTATTTAGCAACGCCATGATCAAACTCATCATCATGATGACATTTCTGTATTTTGAAGTAAAAAAGAATGCTTTCCAGTGGAATACTCTAATTAAAATTTGCTTTAGAAAAGGTTTGGAGGCTTGTCTGTAAGGACTCAAAAATCATATTTTCGTCCTTTTCTTCCCATGGAAAGAAGGACATTTCTAAACACCATGAACTTCCATTAATGTTGAAATCTATAATTTGTGCACAACAACCGAGTGAAGCCGAGTCATGCAGGAGGCAAAAGAAAATGTAAAAAACTAAGCAAACAGCATACAGAAGAAATAATCCACTAGGAACCATTACTTAGCCTGGTTTTCAGGGTTTGAATGGGGTTTTCAAAAGTCCCTGAGTTAAAAGTGCAGCTATGCAGGAAACGGCAACTTACGGGAACGGCAGGAACACTGAACAGACATTTTCCCGTCTGCCCATCTGAGCTTTATCTTCTCCACCGGGAGCTCGCCTGTCTCCAGACTGCCTTGAAGACCAAACTGCTCGTGAAGCCAAGTGCTGATTGTCAGTGCTGTGCTGGGAAGCAGCCTAAACTCACCAGAGGAGCTCCTATAAATCTCACCTGCTGTTTGCAGGTGATTCGTGGCTCTTGGAGTTAAAAACAAAAAAAAAGGTGACGTCTCTGCTCGATGTCAATCCAGTGATATTTCTGGAAGGGCAGATGGGATAAACAGTGATGGTCCGGTCAAGAACAGGTTACCACAGCCATCCCAAATTATGGGTGAATGTGCTTTTTAAAGCACGTGAAGTTTGCCTCAGGATAAGCCATCTAGGTCACCTCATGGGACAGTCCAATAGATAAGGACTGCAGAGAGCCAACAAAGCCTGCCTCAAACCTGCCACTGGAGGCTTCAAAATACAGGATTTGGAACAACCAGGGCCACAAATCGCTTTATTAACAATCCACAGTTCCTAAACAGACCCCTGTCTTTATGTATAGACCCCAATAAATTACTTATGTGTGCAGTAACATGAGTATTTTCAATTTTGTATTGCTCAGTACCACAAGCGTTTAAATTGCATTGACTGTAGAGGTATAGATTAGGTTTCTTTACAATATGTCCTTTCTTATATTAAGGCTAGCATGACCAATTGACTTTATTTATTTTGCAGTCTGCTACTGAGATTTGTTTCCTAAGGACAAGCTTTCATACTTGAAGGTTAATTTGCAAAGCAGGTTTGCAGACTGTAGTACTGGCAGAAAATAAGCATAAATGTTACAGGCTTAAGAAACACTGAAATACAAGTACTCAGAGGGTCCAGCAGGATAATCTGTTTATATTGAGTTGAACATGCTATCCTTTTGGGACAGAACTGTTGCAGAACTTGGCAAAGTCCATTTTCATTTTTGAAACAGAAGAACGTTTTCTATTTAAACATCGCGTGATAAATCTGCAAGCCTGATTCACATTCAAGACAATCCAGAAACGGGGGATCAGTTTCTGGTTACTCAAGCGTTTTCTGTTTTTGAACAAGCCTGCCTAGTGTTCCTCATGAAGGGGCATGGGCAGCAATAGTATTTTAGGTATGAATTTCCTATATTTGTAGGAAGGGAAATTCAGAATAATTTGAACTTATGGTAGAAGACTTTAAAGGAGGTTCTTTGTGTGTGCTGATCTCTACCATTGGTACTTATGGTTGAAGTTGTTTCAGGAAAAGCAGTAGAAATCTTTTGAAGGTGGACATTTCTTTATGAAAACACTGCTTTTTTTTCTGATTATTGACACTGTAACATAGTCCGTTGACATAGAAATTGCATCAGAATGCAGCTATTAATATACCTCCCATATACATGCAATGATTTTTTAATAAGTACTGCATGTTTGCTTCAAACTGACAGCAGAGAGAAACTTATTTTAAAGCAATTATAAATAAAAAGACAAAGCAACTAAAGAATAATTAAAAGAGTATGTACATGAGGATTTATGACTTCTGGATTAAATGTATTATCTGTGATATCTATCATATATGTGAAAGTATTTTAAACCTTATTCTAAAAATAGTATGACAGAGACCATCCCTGCTGGTAGGTGTGTCTTTGTGCCTCTGAAAGCAGAGAGTCCCTCAAGTACCATTTGGTTTTCCCAGGGTCAGTCCTGTGGGTGCTTCAGGAGATGAGTATCTGCCTTTGAATGCAGCTGCATGGCTGCTCGTTCCCCATCAGTGTCATGTGCTCCCTAATACCACAAGGCAGCGTTAGAAGTGAAGCATAAAGTGGAACCTTAAGCTCTTCAGGATGCCTTAAGTGAAGAGCTGTCGAGAAAAGGACACAAGTAGGGTATGAAGTGATTGGTAACTGTCACCACTGCAGCTCAGAGTGGAGCCAGTTGCTGCAAAACCCACCCACGAAGCTTGGTAAATTCTTGGGCATTCAGCCCATAGTAAGTTCTGCTTGGGGTGCAGTTATATGTTTGGGTACAGGAATTGCAGACATACCTTTGGCTGGAGCCCTACCATTGGCTTTGTTCTTAAGGAATAGAAGGAAAACTTTGCTTTTACTTTATTTTGGAGATACCAGAAGCAGGTCCTTGGTTCCAGCAACTCAGTAGAAGGATTCTCTTTCTAAGTATCAGATAATTGCAAGCCTGAGTCTGTCTGTACTTGAAACTGAGATTGTTTATTTTTCATTGTTAGGAACATTTTGGTCTTAATAACCCAACTGGAATGAATTGTCTGCTAGATGGAACCGTCCCTCCAAGTTCTGGTCTCTCTAGCTCCAGTGCTTTGGTGTGCTGTGCAGGACTCGTGACACTCAGAGCTAATGGAAAAACCCTCTCTAAGGTAATTTACTGTAAAACACGAGAGTGTCAGCAGTAAAATTCTACTTAAAATTAAATATTGTTAATGCCTGTAAACATTAAAAACACGATACAATTGTTTTCGCAAAGAGTTGTTGGATATAAACTTAAGATATTGCACAATTGAGCAAACATCTTTGGCCAAATTTTGGCAGGATTAGAATTTGGCAAGAAAACAGGCTTACATTAAAGCTGAAAAAAGGAGCATTATTGTAAGCCTGTATTTTGGCCAACCATCAGGTCCATGCCTGGACCAGATGTGCTATCTGCAGGCCAGGACTGAGGATATATGTGCTGAAACATGTGGACCACACCCCCGAGGCCTTTACCCTCTCCCTGAATGACTTTTCATGGCTTTAACAGCAGAGCATCTGTTGGAGGCCTGTGGAACAATTTCTTGATAAATTATATAATCAGCACAAACGAGAGGTAAAATTCTTCCATCTGACTCTCCTTATTCTCTTCATAGTTTTTTCGGAATGAACGTGTTTACAATCCAAAATGTATTCCTCACTTTTAAACAAACATTATTCTAAAAACAAACCCCAAGTATGTGACCTGTTAGCAGTACAACTGTTAGTAGAATTTGGCTCATGTAATACAAGTTTCTGGAGGAGTCATGGTCCTTGAAGGTGCCATATGGGAATGAACTTCTCTCCAGTAAAAACGTCTGGTTAAGTGAAACTAGGATCTTAAATTAGAACATTGTCAGGAAGAGAAAAGAACAGATCTAAATGTGACTGTTATGCATGTTTGTGCCTATTGTCTAAGGCAGACATTCCCAAATCGTGGTACAAAGCCAACTGAAAGTGGTACATGATGATGGCAGCTGTTAACTCTGCTTGTAACAAGCACTTCTCTGAGCCATGAGGTAAACAGATTCACACAGGAGGTTTTGGCTGATCTGCTGTGATTTACTTCTCTGTGTAGCTGTAGTTGCAGCAATCGCTCAGCAGTGACCTCACCATCCCCCACTGCACACCTCAAAGGGCTTCAGGAGAGGGTCAAGCAGGGCTAAGGCAGAAAGAAGCAGGTTGGTGAGGCAGGGCAGCTTTTTTATGTAGGAGGATGTGGCTGCAGTCACTGTCACCCTGATTTGTGTTGGTGCGAGGTATGGTCAAAAGGCAGGTGAGGGATTGGACACCTTGACAGAAGCTCTGCCCTGTGAGGTCAGACATGTAGAGCAGTGGGAGATGAAAATGTGGAATCAAGAATCCCACTTGGATGAATGAGACTTTGCAGTTAAAAGGCTGGAGGTGACATGACATGTACCTGTCCTGGCAACAAGCTTCTGGTTTTGCACAGATGGTCTCACCACAGCTCAGCCCCATCTCCGATGGTGGTCACCAAATGAGCTCAGTTTGGGAACTGCTGATCAAAATCACTGGAGTGCATGTGTTCAGAAACTGGCTATCTTCAAAATCCATAAAACTGACAGAGGTCAGAAAGCCCAAATTTTACTAGGTAGTAGAAATCTGTATCTGGAAAACCAGAAGCCAGGTTTTCGTTATTCCAAGAAATACTGCACAGCTTTCTTCAGGGAGTAAATGATACAGTGTGTATCTTGAGCTCAATTTACACATGGCTTGGGAGTACTGACCAGCATTATGCCAGACTTGTTGTAAAGAAAGGTGCAAAACTTCTGGCATTTTCATAGAAAATTATGGAGGAAGAGAAAGAAGACAAAGACTCCACTAAAGGGCTTTCCTTCTCCTCATGTGTCCTGTTCAATCAACCCAAAGTCTCTTCTCGCTGGTTGAAAAATGTGCTGAAAGTTAAGCTTGTGTCTGAAATAACAGTTGGACAAACACAAGAGACACAATTGCACATTTTTGTCAGGAAATCCTGCTGTCTGCAGCCAAATGCTTTGCACTTGTGATGAAAAATGACCAATTAATGTACAGATGAGAACTCTCAATAGCCGCCACAGGCGCAGTTCGGAACACCTCCCAGGTTTCGTGTGCTTGCACAGACCAAGACACCTGGTTGTGGTGGTTGAGAGAGAGGATGACAGCTCTGAACACTGATTACTTTTGTCCAGGCTTTAAGTTTCCCCAAATCTTACAGGACAGTAAAAACAAGTTCAGTGTTCTTGGCTAATTTATGATTTAGCATTAGAGACCTCTTGTATCTGGCCAAATCCAGCTTCTCTGTTGCACTGGATTTATGCTTTAGCCTCCCAGAACTGCCCTGTGTAAGGCAGAGCTGAGTATAAATTAGAGCAATCTAGGCATGTGAGCCCTCAGAAGTATAAAACGTGCTCTGGCCACTTCTTGCCAGCTCCTAATGCATCCTGTGCTGGTGTCAAATGGGATCTGTGCAGGATCCAGCAGTGCTGGCTGTGCATCAGCCGGGAGCTCCCCCATGGCAGGGGAATTCTTAGCTGAGCAGAACTAGGGGCTTTCCAGAGCCTTTCTACTAGAAAGCAAACCAGGACCTTGCATGTTTAAGGCTCTGGATATTTATGTGTTTGTTTATTTTAAAGAAGAAATATCACTGTACCCTTCCCCTCCATCTTTTTTTTCTTTTTTTTTTTCTTGTCCAGATGCTTTACAGTTGCGAAAGTTGTAAATTGTAGCATTTATAAGTAACAATATTTGACCATGGCAGTAATTTTATGAGAAAAGATTGACTTTTTGCCCCTCATTAGTCTGATGGACTTTGCAAAATCTTAGTACGATGGTTTGTAGCAGCAGTACAGGAAACTTTTGGCTTTGGAATCAAATTTGGCTGAATCGTAGGGCTCCTGTAGCCAAAGTTATGAAAAACTGACCTTTTACTGAATGGAACATTTATATGTTTTGCTTCTGTGAAACTATTTTTATGAGAATATTTTAGTTATACGCTCTTTTTCCTGATAAATGCAAGTTTAAAATAGTAGCTGTAGAGTAAAAGTCCTTGAAATTTAGAGCTTTTATGAGATAACACTTCCAGTGTGAAGTTTGGGCCTGTGAGATTAAGAGCCAAAAAAACCCCAGAATTAAAAAACATTGTAAAAGCACGGCTAGAATTTCATGGTGGCTTACTTTAAAAATAGCACTTTTTTTTGACGTTGAAAACAAAATCAGAAAAAAATATGCTCTCCCTAATTGTGTGTAGCAGTCTGCAATAGGGCATTGTTTCAGTGTGCATACAATTTTTTTTTTTTTAAAACCCATCAGTACACACATACACAATAGTTTAGGGAAAATACCAGCTCAAGACAATTCAGCCAGATGTGCAGTGCTAACCAGTTGCAGCAGTGCAATAGCATTCAAATAACAAGATGGAAAATGTAGAATGTGATCCTTAAAAAGAATCCATTTTTCTTCTCCAAACAGGATACCAGTCTAAGGCTGTGTTGGCATCACTCAAACAGCAGCAATGCTCACTATTACCAGTTTTTGATTTTAGGGTGATTTTTGTTTCACTGTTACAAAATCAATCTTTTGAATAACTTTTCATCAGGAGAAGATACTTTTTGTAAAGGAAGTATAATAATGCTCTAAATTGTCCCAGCATTGTGTTACGTGGTAGGAATTAATGAGCACAGAAAATTAATGACTTAGTCCTTTGAGTAACTAGATTTACTTGGAAGATGTGATGATAGTGTTGCTGTCCAAATGTTAAATCTTATGAAACTAAGGTCCGTTCAGCCACCTTAACATTTTCTCTGTTACCCAGGGCTGGGCAGCTGTGCACACACTTATTGGGAAGAATAGATCAAAAATGAATAGGGTATATTTAATTTAACACGAAATGTTGGATATAGGAAGGAGAGTTATATTTGACTTTATCTAGACTTAGAAAAATCTAAGTCAGACAAAATGATAAATAAAGGACCTAAATCTAATCTGTAATGGCACAGTGTCCATTGATCCCAATTTTCCCAAGCTATGGCTTAGGTGAATCTGAGTGTGGGTTTTAAACATTTTTAAATTTCAACAGTTACTGTACCTGCTAATGTCACTGATTTCAAGGGGAGAAAGATATTTCTGGAATCCTTTCTACTTTGTATCTGAAGCCTGTATATAATAATGAAAGGGCTTAAGTTGAACCCTTTACCATTTCCTAATAATGTTTCTGCAGTAGGGCTTTAATACCCACATAATACCTACCCTTGCCTAGCTGGCTAGAAAACCTGTGAGTATACATATTGATAGTGGGACTTAGAAATTAATAACTTGTGCTGGTAATACTGCCTAGGATTGTTTTAAAATTTATTCTACTTTTTAAAAAAATTATCTATTTTTATAATTTATTTTACTGATGCAGCAAAAATGTTCGATAGATGCGTGCTTAGGTTATTTATATGAGAAACACAAACTGTTGACACAAAAAATGGCCTGTAGATATTGTGTTTTAAAGTACTATTAATACTGAGAAATGCTGAAGTTCCTTTCTCTCTGTGGAATTGAGAAACCAGGGCTCTTTAACTTGTTACATTTAAGTGTGTATGTCTGTAATCAAGAGGAAACAGGGTACTTTGGAGCAGTGGTAATCAAAGGCCATAATCTCTCATCAACCAAATTGATAACCTTCTATTTGAGCATGTTAGAGGGCAGACGAAGTCAAGCTAAGGTTGCTGTGCTTATGAGGACATCCAGATACTATCTGACAAATATTTCCCCATTTTGGAAAAAAGTAAGTGTAATTACCTTGCAAAACACATATTGAAGTTTAGCTAATTGGGATTTTATGTGCAAACTGGAAGCAGATGGCAACTTTCATCAACCTATTCCTAGTCAAGACCAGATATTAAAAATAAAGACATTCTTGGATGAAAATAACCTCAAAATTTGGGCATCATTTTATACCTTAATAAATGAAACACAGGGCCTTATATTTCAGAAGTTATTTTCATACCTATATACATGTATATAAAATGTATATATAAAGCTTGGAAAAAAATACCACCATGTAACTAGAGTTTAAATCTGTCTTAAATGATGGAGAATGTTTTCTTCTTCCTGTAAAATCCTTGTCTTTATCTATAAATGTTTC